TACAATCACAACAACATCTGGAATGTACTCTTCGGAACCATCATCTACTGGTGTGCCGTCTATTGTGTTATGCAGACACAAGTGCAGCGATACTGTAGTATGGAATCACCGCAAAAAGCACGAAGGTCAGTTATTACATGCTATATAATTAACTAAGGAATTACAGTAGTAATTATTGTCCAAATGTATTGGCAGAACCCTATACTACAATCTTCCGGGTCTTGTGATATTGGCTGTGATGGCAGTGATGTGTGGAAACGTTTTATACGCCAAATACCGCAACTGTGATCCGGTCACTCTTCGGCTCATTGACAGACACGACCAGTTGATGCCATACTATGTTATGGACACTTTGGCCAAATACCCGGGTCTGCCCGGACTATTTGTTGCCTGTGTTTTCAGCGGTTCGCTCAGGTATTACAATATAGTGACAGTAAATGTTACCAAAGAATTTATATATAACATTAATTGACAATATTTAAAATGAGTTAATGTTTACCAAATTAAATGAATTGTTTGTGCAATAAGCACTTTGTCTTCAGGTCTGAACGCATTGGCAGCGGTCACGTGGGAAGACATCATTAAGGATAGGATTACAGTGAAGAACGAGAAACAGGCCCTCACTATCACTAAATTGATAGGTATATTACATAATACCTTCAAATGATAATCATAATTATAATAAATCTAACTCCATGTATATGTGAAGCCATGGGATACGGTTTACTGTCCATTGCCATGTCGTTTGGTGTGGGAAATCTGGGCACAGTATTGCAGGCCTGTATGGTTTTGGTCGGTTCAATGGTTGGGCCGCTATTCGCTATGTTTCTCATCGGAATATTCTTTCGATACTCGACAGCACCGGTATATAGAAGATTGGCTTTAATCGATAGAAATATAAGTTTTTAAAACATATAAATACTTTCAAATTAAAGGCCACTTTGATTGGATTTATTTTGGGAGTGTTGGCCAGTCTATCGCTATCTATTGGTTCGTTGGTTATCCCTCGCCCTCAGGTCTCGTTACCGACAACACTGTCTGAGTGTCCACAGGATGTGATCGCCTTTACTCTCGATAAATACCAATCACTTCCAAACTCTTCATACATACATTCCTACGATAATCCAGAGTTAGTTGTCATCCATTCTTACATAGCTTTGATATAATTTACAATATGTACAATAATGTACAATATAATTTATACATTATTACATCAGTTAAATAAAACATGCCTTACTTTTTTAGAGGTTTGGCTAAATATTTCCACATTTCATATCTACTTTTATCAATCATTGGATTTCTAATGACATTATTAGTTGGATTACTTCTTAGTCTATGTGTCGGTCAGTATCTAAAATAAATTAATAAGTTATTAATAATAATTTTCAAAACTTTAATCCAAAACCTCTTATTTATAGGAAAGCCCCCAAAATGTGTGGATGAAAAGTTGATTATCCCTTTGGATCAATATCTCATTAATTGCTTTAGATCTAAAACAAAATAATTAAATTTCATAATAATTAATAAGTATAACAACCTTTTTGTAAAATTTTTATTCAAATGCTTGTCACTATTAATAATTTTAATAATTTTTTACATTTTTAAAATAAAACATTAAGAATATTTTGAATAGGTAAAAATAAATTGCAATATTTTGTTTAAATAAGTGCCAAAACAGACGGGGAAAGCGATAAATGTCTTAAAAGAGTTATCTTAAATCATTATATATTGCTTCAGATTCGCTCTTACGTTGGGATCCATTGGTTGACACCTCTGAAGAGAATCTCAAATAAGTTAGTTTTGGGGCTTTCCTATAAATATTTCAAATTAATATTGTTTTACAATCAAAACTTCATTTTATTTCAATTAAGATTTTGTTTACTTTTTAATTATCATTTTTTCAATCATTGATTTACTGTCAAATTGTTTCATTCAATTTTATTAATACAAAATGTATGTCCCATATGTGACCTTATGATCTTTTTAAACATGAAAATCATTAAATTTATTAAAAACATGTGATTTAAGTACAAATTGAAAATAATTGTGAATCAATTGAATACAAAACCTTATAATTGTTAACACTATTCACACAATTAAAGTTGTAATCAAAATCTGGTCATACATTTAGATCAGTATTTCATTGCAAACTTTGTTTTGTTGCAAGATTTGTTTAATTCAATTTAAAACATCAAATGCAATGTAATAATAAATGGCATTAAATTAATAATTCATTTATTAATGCATTCATTATTTATAGTCAATTGATTGCATTTAATCTCAGTTTCAATTGAATTACACTTTTATGCCAACAATTATTACATAACTATCAAAATTTTAACAATGGTTTCGAAAATTTTGAAATTTATTTTTAAGGTTTATATGTTTTTCCAGGACTTTTATCCAAAAAAACAATTTCAGCTGTCTTTCCAAGACTTCTTCACCACAACTATCACTCAACACATCCACTCA